CCCCAAAACCCCAAAACCCCAAAACCCCTTAAGCTAAAAAAAATCGAAAATCAAATTTATAAATAAATTGGTAATTTATATGTTTATCAATAATTTTTGGATGGATAGTTATTAAATCAAAATTAATGGCTATCATGATCATAGGTTGAAATCACCTCCGATACCTTTATCTAGGGATAGAATACTTCTATTCAACTTAAGTGGGTTACTTGAATTGACTTTTTTATTAGTTTCTCCTGTAATAATTTTACAATTTTTTCCTTAAGGAGTGCTAGCATCAAGTCTCTCAAACAATATATTCACAATTTTAGATTGCTAATTCTTCTCTTTCAAAGTTTTTCCTCTTTTATTCATTTATCGCTATTCAGAAGCTGGTGAGGTAACCTTAATGGTTGGATATTTGTTTAATGTAGAGTCTGAAGGTCTTGCAAGTCTTTCATCAGAATCCTTTTTGCTTTTTTAAAACAATGACTTTTAGAAAGGCTTGCTAACTCTTTTTGGATCAATTTGAGCAGCAAAGTTTTATTAATTTTTTTGAAATTGTTTCATTTCATCGTTCTCTACTAAGGCTTTGAACTAATTGCTAAAAAACTCTAGACCATTTTTACTATCTAGTCTATAGTGATGTTGCTTATTTCTATTGTCAAAACTTTAAAAATTGTAGTTTGAACCTAGTAGGCTTCCAAGAACTTATCTATCAATTTTGTTCAACCTTTTATGCGATAAATACTCTACAATTTTCCGGCCTAAATCTCTTTTATATCCTTTCTGATTTGCTCCTTGGTCTACTTGACTATCATGAATTTCTAAATTAAAATCCTCTTAATTTACTATATAGCTTTCATGATATCTCATCAGCTCTTTTTGCAGAGGATTTACAAAAGCAGATTGCAAGATTTCTAATTCTTATATTCTCTTATAGAGTTTAACGATGTCAAATTACTTTTTAATCTTATCAGCTGCTCTGTTAAACAAAAACTTTTTAAAAGCTGTCTTGGTCCGACTCTTTTTCTTACACAAGCACAAGAAGAACATAAGCTCTTTTATATTTATTTTAGCTTTCTTTAAAACTCCAATCTTAAGTGTGATATCTTCAGCAATTTCTCTAAAGAAATATCTCTTTTCTTTACCTTCATCATTCATTGGGGATGCTAAAGTCGGATCTTAGTGAATTTCAAACCTATTTCTTTCACTGTCACCAGATTAGTTAGTTATATCTCCAGGGGGTCTATTTCTTCTGTTGGCTAAAAGTTTTGCCTTATGTTCCTTTTAAACGAAAAATAAACGATGTATCAATTCAGAATATAGCATTTTCTCAGTGATCTAAAACAATATTTATAGAGAAATGTAAAATATTTCTTACCATTCTAGTCAGTAAATGACCAATTAAAATTAATGCCTTTATAGTACCTCCGATTTAAAAAAGCAATATATAAATTGAGTAAATCTATCTTGTGTAAATTTCAACTTCAACATCGAGTCTAACATTGATCTAAACAAGACCAGGTCCCCTTCTGTTTAAGTCAGCTTAAAAATACTTTATATTAGTAATTTGAGTGAAAGTATAATTATCAGGATTTTAAAAAGGCAATAAACTATCCGATAACTATGTATATCCTCTTTTAATAAACACATCTGCCCCTTTTTTAGTGTAAGGTTCAATAGGTAAATAAAATCTGTCTTCAATATACCGCTTGATTGGCTTTTCAAAGTCAGTATAGGCAAAATATGAATTCACATATCTCAGTTCTTAAAAATGCTCCCATTTCCTCAATGGACGAACATTGATTATTATTGGAGGTAGAATTTATACATTATTATAGTGATATCTTCAGATACTCATACTTTGAGCTTGTAAACGTGCCACCCACTCGCAAATAAGTTTTGTTTTTAATGCATAAATGATTATTTATTCCTTTAAATTCAACTTCTTAGTAATTGTCATATTTAAAGTAATCTCATCCGCATTTTACTAGCTCCAAATCTGTGTTTTCATTCATTATATCTAAAAGTCAAACAATAAGACAAAATTTACTTGTTTGTTTTGTAGTTGTATTAAAAACTCTTGTTTAATGTATGTGAGTGATCAATATGTAACCATATTTAGCATCAATGGGAGCAGATGTACTTACTGCAATGTCGAATCCATAATCACTAATAATAATCATTTCCAAATTAATATAATAATTTTTACCCTAACTCGTACATCACTGGATAATTTGATATATCTTCTATTTATGTTTATCTCCCTGTCTAGTTTTCTAGACGATCTAAATAATCATTTAGCTATAAAATTACTAAAGAGCACAGCCAGTCTGTAAGTGATAAAACTGATAAAGCTGAATGCCAAAATAATGGTAACAATTGCCCCATAATGAGTTTTAAATGTCCTACATTATGGTTATCAATAATACTTCTAAAAATCAAACCTTTTGCCCTTATAAGTTAAATCTAGCCTTTGCCCGAACATATCGAAATTCTTTATGAATTTAGACCATCCCTTGCTGTTTTTTTATTAATCTGTATTGAATTTTGTAAATATATGAAGCAGTAAAATTTACCATTCTTAGCTGCTAACATTATATGTTTAATACGATTATTAATATTCCCCATCTAAATTTAATTCACAATTTTGATAAGTCTGTTCGTCCAATTCTATTTTGCAATGCGGGGTTTTGGGGTTTTGGGGTTT